TGAACTAACTTCCTTTCTCTCTCATCCTCAGAGTCGTCAGTTTCACTCTCACTCTCACTTTCAGACTCTTCGGAATCTGTTGCCGGTTGAATTTCAAAGGGTTCATCTTCTGGCACTTTGGCATATCTGTCAATGGAGAATAATAATGAATGCTTAAAGACCAAGAAGAAAAAAAAGCAGACCAAAAAATATAGTGACAGTTCAGTTTGGCACATACTGATAACTGGTTGTTAAACATACCTCATTTCAAAGACATCTTGTAACTTTCTTGCCATGGCTACTACATCATGGTCAGGGGGATTATACTTGTAGCAATTTGTAAATATTGTTCTAACATCACCAGCAAACTCTGCACCATTCTTGTACTCTCTGTTATCCATTTTAGTCTGAGGTTGAAGAAAGAAAAAAAAAAGAAAAGAAAGAAAAGAAAAAAATTAGTTTTTAAAACCATACTTGACATAATCATTCTACAGAGGGAAATTGAAGTTGTAATATGATAAAAAATGAACTTTTCTGAAATTTTCAATTCACATGAGAGTACGCCACAATCTACAAATAAAAAAAATAAGGCCAATAATGTAAATGTAAACCAAAGACAAGACAAAAGATGACGATTGCTCCTAACTCTTGTCTACTTGAAAAGTAGTTTTATTTATTCATTTTTTTTTTTTTTTTTTTTTTTTTTGTAAGCTAGTTTACCTTAACCGAGCCTAAATCCATTGGATGTTTGATGATCTCATGGTAGTCTGACAACCCTAAAAGATCAGCATCCACTGGCTTATAGAAGGGCCACGCATATCCCTGAAAAAGTAAGTAATCAGTTTTTCACACATTCAGAATTCCCAGGGTTCCCTTCAAGTAACAGGTCACTGGGATATACGATAAAGATGAAGGGGGAAGAGATAGTGGGCAGTCATGAAAAGTAAATTAAAAAGTAGACTTTTCTATGAAATATTTTTGTATAAATAAAAATTTTGGAAACATTTTCAACTAAATCACAATTTGTTCTAATTTCATCTCTAATAATGAAGGCCAAAATACCCTGGGCACACAAATAATTCAAGAGATACTGGCTAAAAGCACAGATTTTCCTTAAAAGAAAACCAAGTTTTCTGTTTATCCAGACATCACTAAGTCTGGATTAAAGAAAGAAAGAAAGAGAGAGAGAGGGAGAGGGAAGAAAAGAAAAGAAAAGAAAAGAAAAAAAGGAGAAAACTTTTGCTTATACAATAAAAAATATTTAGAGTGGAGCAGAGATATGATAAGTGATATTTCCGTGCCTGCCAAAATTGTAACATGGCTGTTAGCAAGAGTAGAACTACTCCCTCCCCCCAATGAAAACTTTATTTTGCAACTGCACAACTACAGAACTTTATATTCACCTGTCAATACACCTGTTACTGAACTGATTAAGCTTAATAACAATTAAAGGTTGTTACTCATCATCATTATAATTATCACAAACTTTTTCACAGATGAAGAACTAATGCTATTTGATGAATGCTGTCACCATATAATTCTCCGTTTGTTATATGATCTATTTAAAGTATAAAGTGGTTTAACAGCCACTATTAATATCACACATTATTGTAACTTTTTTTTTTTTAATCTACTTTCATCACTTAATAGTTCAAAGAGTCACCATTTGATACATTCAATGGTTTAAAATATTCAGTTGTTTCCAACTCTTAAGCCCCCAATCAATAATTTGAAGTGACTATTCAAAGATCTCATAGAAGAAACTCTTCAAAATGTGTGTTGACCCAATTACAGTGGGAGCCCCCAGAGCAATACTGAACAATACCTCTGGATACACATGGAATTGGTTGGTTGAGGGAAAAATCAGAAGCATAGGAAACAAAATTATACTGCTCTTTATGCTCTTGGCTAAATCAGAAACAATGAGATAATGTGGCTAAAAAGAGGCTACTTTTGACAGTCTATTTCTCCTCAATGAGTGCAACAAGGGCAAAACAAGTCTAAAACTGTGCATAACTTAAGAGATCATGTCAAGACACCATCTTGGCATTAGGGGTATGATGTAATAGGATGTCATGTGGTGGCTCCCAGTGTGATTGGGTTGAGAAAAAAATCCTAATATATGTTAAAACCCAATCACAAGACTAACTTTGCTTAATAATATCTTTGGTAAATGGATCTCTAGTATGTGGTTTCCAAACCCAATGTATTACACTAGAAGTAGAGTATAAGAAGGATGCCAAGAACCTTCACAAATTAGCCTTATAGTTCAGAAAGGCAAAAATCAAATTTATTCTTAATATTACTTTAAACGCAAGGTGAGTGCCCTTTAAAATTCCAGTCTATTTTACAACAAGGTCAAAAAGCAAACTGTAAGCCACTTATAGCTTGTGCCTTAACATATGTTATTCGATGCAAATCAACGTGCCTAAGTGGGTAACTTTGGCTGTGACTTGTCTATTCAAGTCAAACATTTGCAGATGTCAGTAATATGTCACTAGTCTTTGTAATTTGAATCTACTGGCCCAGAATATGAAACTTATTAAGAGGTTGATATTAATTTCCAAAGCACTTCATTTCACATACATTTATTTATATATTGTAGCAGTATGCAGTGTCATTAATAATAAGGAAATAAACCACATAATATATTTGGAATAATCATAATCTTTATTGATCTGTTATCAAATGTGTTGGCATATTATAAACAAACTACTAGAAAAAGGAGAGAGATTATTAATAAAGTAAAATACCTGAAAACAAAGAAAAAAGATGAGAATGCCACTATAAGACTAAAATGTCTTGTGACTTTCTCAGCATATTGAAGACTTTCTTAGTATATTAAAACATGTATCACTGGGAGTCTGAGAGAAATATTTGTGCTAAGATTTTGCCATGGTTTATAACACTTAAAAGAAAAATATGATGCACTTACCGAATGTTTTTTTGAAAATAGTTCTTTGAGAATTTCGTTGCAATTTTTAAAAGACTCTGAAACCTTTCCCTTTGGTTTCGTACTGTGCTGTGGCTGAAAAGAAAACTTTGTATCAATACAGTTTCAAACCTTCTATGGTTTAAATTATTCCTTTGTATTTAGAGCAATTTCAAAGAAATTCACTACTAGCAAAATTAACCAACATTAAAATCAGCAAATGAAAGCAATTTCTTTTTGAATAACAAATGAAAATGAAAAATACATGAAATTTTACTATGTGACACAGCAAGCTTTGACCCTAAGGAAATTGTAAAGCCTCAGAAAAAAAGAACAAAATGTGTAATAAAAATAAATATATAAACAAACAAACAAAAAAAAAATAAATAAATAAAAAATAAAAAATAAAAATAAATAAATAAATAAATACACATGGGGAGGGGAGAGATATATGACAAATGAACTGTGATATTGAACAGGACCCTGTTTAATCTAAATGAAACTTTTGTTGGATAAGGATTTATGAAATGTTTGTTGTCCTTTTAAGAAGCTGAGAGCAAGCATATCCACTACAGACCTTCCCCCCTTCTTTTCTTCTCTTCCTCTTTATGGATTTTCAGACATACACAAAGCACAAGCACAACCTTACTCAAAATATGGCACAAAAGCAATCAAAAGCTTCACTTCAGACGAGACTCCTCTACATAGTCCTTAAAAGGCTTCACTTTCTCATGAAACTATCATTTGAAGGTATGCACATCCATAAGTTTTCTCAGACCAATTCAACTATTAAATGTTTTGATGATTTCTTCTATAACATAAACATCAATGTTTAATAATGTACTTTGTCTCTGGAGTGTAGTGCATTAATAACAACAATACCTGTGTTACAGAAGAGTTTCAACAAAGCATTTCATGAACATATTTTCGATAAGTAGTCCAAGAACACGTTTGGACATGTATATCTAATTTAACCCTTACTTATGACAACAAACCTTTGACATATATGATAAAGTCTGTAGTTTATTCATACACTTCAGTTTGGCCCTAATATACAGTATTAGGCTATCTCTACAAGAGGAAATCTATCAAGAAGATTCAATGTATTATACCAACTTCATTTGGAAAAAAAAAAAAAGAACACGAACATTTCATACCCTATAAGTGCATTCAATTACTATATAAGACTTTTAGACTTAGTAAGAGCAAGATTTTGAAAGTCATACAATTTAATTGTAATAAATAATTCTTTTCTTTCTGACACTGCAAGTTATGGTGATAAACAGAAAATTGGCAGTTTTGCACTCAACACACACATCCAATGTTTCAATGAACAGTTGTGTAAGAACCCATTAAACAAGGAAGTAAAGGACATAAAAGCAATAAAATAAGAAAAGGGAGAGAGGGAGGGAGAGAGAGAGGGAGAGAGAGAGAGAGAGAGAGAGAGAGAGAGAGAGAGAGAGAGAGAGAGAGAGAGAGGGGAGGGAGAGAGAGGGGGAGGGAGAGAGAGGGAGAGAGGGAGGAAGGAAGGGAGGGAGGGAGGGAGAGAGGGAGGAAGGAAGGGAGGGAGGGAGAGAGAGAGAGAGAGAGTCTGGTAATATAACTATATAATTCGGATTCTCAACACCTTGGGCAAGTCATTGGCATGGGGTCTCTGAATAGTTCCTGAGGATCAAAGTTGTTGAACATGCCACATAGAGGAGAGAGATTCACCTGAGTAGTTTCCATCAAGGTTACCTGAGAATCTGGTAAATCCTTGTTGACTTTCTTTATCTGTCTGCCCGACTCTCTCCGAGAAGATATCTTGCCTATCTTTTCCCCAGGTGAAAATGATTCAAAGTTTGAGTTGCCAATCATTGGAGCCATGGCATCTGCTTTCCTCTTTACACCTTTCTGAAATGGCAAAGAAAAATGCATTTAAAGCAAGTGAATTATATTAAAAAAAAAAAAAAAAAAGGAAAAGACCTTTCCTTTCTCATCACTCAAACCTATGAAAAGCCAAAGAAGAGAAAAAGAAATAATGTACTCAATGATTTGACTCTAAGTTGATAGTCTGCCTTTTCTCTTGTCTGTACAGCCAGAGGCAAAA